TATTAATACAATATTGATACAATATTGATACATTATCATATATATATATATATGAAAAATCTCCTAAGTAAATCAAAGTTGAAAATTTGATAGAATAATTACATAAATTAAATAAATAAATTGCATTGAGTTTCTACAACTTCTTACAGTTGTAAAAAGCTATTTAAAAAAAAACAGGAAAGTTTTTAAATGTAATTATTGATTAGCAAAAATATTCAAACATTTTAGCTCTAAACATTGTATTGAATACATACTTATTCAATAGATAAATAAATAAGAGTATTACCCTAAAATTGCAATATGACGTTGCATTAATGTTTAAAAATACTTAAATAATTAATGATATCAAAAAATTTGCTTAAAATTTTTTGCTTAAAATCTCTAATGACTAGTCATGGCAAGGGCATATGTAGCTGTATTGCACACAGCTCAAATGTGATGGAATTAATTTACAGTAATAAGTATAATAATAATAAGAATAAAAAAGTTCATTATTATAATGATTAGAAGAGACTTAAGTTTGTTTCGATCTGAATAACACCAGTTATCTTTATGAATGATAATGTTTGACTGTAACAAATATCAGTTATATAAATTCGAGCAATATGCATTCTTAGCACAAATTCTATAAAAAAAATTTTTAAATAAAATATTGAAACGGTAATGAATATAAATATTGATTTGCAATAATATTTTATGAGAAAATTAAAAAATTATATTCTATGTATTGTTCTGCAACTATACTTATTAAATATTTAAATAAAGAGTATAACCCAAAATTTTTTAAAAAATTTATATTAATTAATATCAATTGTATTTAATGTTTAACTGCTAATGTTTGTCCATAATAAATCAATTATGCAAATTCGAATTCTTAAACAAATACAGAATAATACTGAAAAAAATAAGTAAAATGTAAAAATTTTGAATATAACTTAGAATAATTAATTTATTAAATGAAAATATTAAAAGAAAGTTAAAATTTCACACATTACATTAGAAATATATTTGCAGCAAGAACATTGCTCTTCGTGTTTAAAATTTTTATATATTGAAAAATAATCAAAAAATTTAAAATCAAATATTATCGTACCTTTATCTATAAAAACGATATCACACTGGCAAGTAGAAGTCACACACAACTTCCAGTAGTTGAAAAAGTAAAAAAGCAAACGTTTTTAAAAATGCTTTTTTATTATCATTATTATTATTATTATATTTATGAGCAAACGAATTTTCGATTTGAACAGTGTGCTGGTTGCTCGATAACTGATAATGTTTTGCCTATAACAAATCAATTATGTAAATTCGAACAATTCGAATTCTAGAAATAATTCCATAAAAAATAATATTGAGAAAATACTTTTTTAAAAAGTAAAAATATTGAATGTAAATAAGGGCAATAAAAGTATTAAGTGAAAATACTGAAAAAAATTAAAATTTCATACTTTATATACTTGTTGCAAGAACATTGCTCATGTTTAAAAATTTTAAATATTGAAAAAAAAAATCTAAAAATTTTAAAATCAAATTTTATTGTACCTTCATCTATAAAAACGATTTTGCACGGGCATGCAGAAGTTACAGAGCAGAGTTAGAAAAAAAGCAGACGATTTAATATGTCTTTTTTTTATTATTATTTTATGTAGAACAGGTGACGATTTTTGTTCAACCTGAAAGGTACGCCGGTATTTAAACCGGTATATTTGCACAGTATATCCTTGACTGATAATATTTGCCAGTAACATATTAGATCAAATTAATTCGAACAGTATAAAGTTTTAAAAATAAATACGATAAAAATAAATTACAAAATATAATGTTAACAAGAAAACATAGATAGTAAATACTGATTAGTAAAAATAGTAAATAAAAATATTGAAAAACTATAATTCTATGCATTGCATAATATACATACAACAAGAGCTTTGCCTTTATATTTCAATTTTTTCTATACTAAAACAATATTAAATCTTTTTTCTACTCGCTTACAAAATATATATTAGGAAAAACTTTTAAGGAAAAGAAAATATCGCACGGGCATGTTGAATTCATACACAACTCTAACGAGTTATGAAATTACTCTATGGAATAGTTTACTCTAAAACTCGTTTTCATACTAATAAACGAGTTTTATTATTATGATTATTATTATATGGGACAGCTGATGATTTTTTTCCAGCTGAATAATACGACTCCCGATTCTATGGCGATTGATAATATTTGTCCATAGCAAAATTTAATTTATTCAGAACAATACGAATTCTAAAATAAATTCGATAAAGAAATATAGGAAAAAAATTAAAAAGAAGTAAAAATATTTTGAAAATTGAAATTCTATGTATTGTATAACAAGTATACTTAATACAAAAGCATTGCCCTTATTAGTTAAACATTTTTAAACTTTAAAATCATTACATTAAAATATTTAAATCAAAATTTATTTGCACTTGTCTCTTACCAAGTTTTATTAAATTTTAAAATCAACACTTGCAAACGACACAGCATTAGCATGTTTAAGTCACGGGCAATTTAACCGAGTTCGAAAAATAAAAAAGCAGACGATTTTATTACTATATAAAATAGCGGACAATTTTTTTTTTTAATTTGAATAACATGCCGGTTGTTTGATGACACATAATATTTATCCATGACAAATTCATTTATAATAATTCGAGCAAAGGAAATTCTTTTAGAAAAAAACTAATTAGAAAAAAGAAATATTGGGACTTCATAAAAAAAGAAAAAAATAATTGGGTATAATATAGCCTACGTCACAGATTGTGTTGTTCCTACAAAATTTAACCCAAGAACGGCATTTTCTGCGAGCCTAACTTCAAGCCACAAATAAACAAACGAAGTGTTCGATCGTTTAAATAACTGCTCGCCAGATTTTATTGCATTATAAAGAAAAGTTATTGAAACTAAATACAACTAAATAAACAACAACAACTAAAACAAATAACAACAACTAATAATAACAATAACTAAATAAACAACAACTAAATTCCATTCGTTTAGCATTGCGTCATATGTTGTTCCTACTAAATCGAAGTAGTTGTGTTTTTTTCATATTATACCCAATTTAAATATTAATTAGTAAAACCACTTAAAAAATTAAAATTTATGCAGTGAAAAAGAATACAAATAACAAGAGCATTGCCCTTTATAGTTAAAAATATTTAAACGATTAAAAAATAACATTTAAATTTAAAAAATAAAAAAAAAATTTGTTACCTGCTTCTCTAAAGACGACATCACGTGGGCATGTAGAAGTCACACACAACTTTAACGAGTTAGGAAAGTGAAAAAGCAGACGATTTTATGATTTATTTGGAAGAGCTGACGATTATTTCGATCTGAATAGTGCGCCGGTTGTCGGACGAGTGAGAAAGTTTGTCCATAACGCCGATCACCTATCTCTTCAAGGCCGATGCCAAACTCGGTGGCCTTCCTCGGTCCGATAACCGGGCCGTTATTTCTACCGTGTGAAAGACGCGAGTAAAGGAGGAAAGGGGGTACAGAAATGGGTTCCGGAATTCACGCTGCTTCTTTGGGCGAAGCCCGAATTGAAATGTTAAAGGTATGACGAGCATTTTACAAGGGCATTGCAAAGTAGGATAATAAGTGCAGTAAAAGTAAATTTAAATAAAGAGAGTGTTTATTTTAATCTTTGTTTTATTTTATGTGTTTACTTTTTTTTCTCGTGGTGCAACGGCATTTTGTGTGGCTTTCCTTTTCCACGCCAAGGAAGAATTTGAATAATCATGGGAAAATTTATTCTTGCAGATTTATTTGAAATATGAAACAAATTAATGATTGCATAAATTAATATTAAGGAAAGTTAATGGTCGTAAGGATTTAATTCATTTTTTAATGCAATTATGAGAAACTTGTCCATTAGCTATTACCGACATTTTTCTCATGACCACAGAAAAATTATATGAAAGCACAGTTTACCCGAACAACTTTAAACGTCCTTTAGTAATTATTGTCTGTTTTTTTTTCTTCTTCAAATAAGTAAAACTGGTAGCACAAGTGGTTCATAACGGGAATTTATTTCGCGGAAACAAAATTGTTCTACGAACCCCGTATGATAAATTATGGAACAATTTATATTAGAATCCGAAATCAAGGGATATATTCATTTAAAAGCTAAAAGTAATGAATAATTCTAGGAAATCTCTTTTTGTTCAAAACATGAACGAAGTATCCCTAATTTTCCAAAGGCGCTTTTTACATCGCTTCAAAATTTATCGTTGAGCAGTAATGGAAAATTGTTACTCAAACTATGAAGAATACAAATCTTTCATGTACATAAAACGTCAGTCATAATGAAAAGTAGTAACATTTAAATTTCGATTCGTATAAGTGAAATAGGAAATAAGAAGGAAATGTTTGCAAAGAAATTATTTATTATTTTATATCTGGGTTTTAAACAGTTTGACTTCTTTATATCAGTTTTTAAAGAATAATTCCTTTTGTTATTTATCAATATTTGACCCATCTTCGAATCATGGATTTAAGAAAAAAAAAACGTCTAAGTGGTGTTTTTCATTAAAAATCATACAAGTGTGTTATAGTCTGAAGACCTTAATATAAAGTGAACATTTTTACCAAAATAAAAAAAAAAATCTGTACAATTTCTCATTTTGAACATTTTCATGTTTCAGCTGTTCCATAAAATTAATGAAAATTTTTTTTATTGCGAATCCCGACATTGCAAATCCCTACATTACGAATCCCGATATTACGAATAACACAAATTTAAGGAATAAAATTGTCAGTCCTGATGACTTCGCTAAATAAGGGTTCTACGCATACATCTGAACTATTGGGCCACAATGAAAAGTAGTTATATTTAAGTTTCGATATCTATCAGTGAAATGGAAAATAAGAATAAATCGTCAGTAAAGAAATTATTTATTATTTTAAATCTACATATTTTTCAGACAATTTGACTTCTTTACTTTAGTTTTTAAGGAATAATTCTTTTGGTTATTTATCAATATCCTGCCCATCCTCAAATCTTGAATTTAAAAAATGTCTAAGTGGTGTTTTCATTACGAATTGCAAAAGTGTGCTTTGCTCTTAAACTCTTAATAAAAAGTGTACATTTTATCTAAAAAAAATCTGTACAATTTTTAGTTATGAACATTTCTGTGATTCAGCTGTTCCATAAAATTAGAAAAAAGTTTTATTTTTATTTTGAACTCCGATGTTACGAATAAGACACATTTAACGAATAAAATTTTCAGTAATGACGACTTCGTTAAAAAAAGGGTTCTACACATACATCTGAATTATTTCGTTGCCATGGTGGGTAGTATTGTTTCTAATATTGACTCAGCTTACTGAAAAATTAGCTTAAAATCTTATTCCAATTTTGTCCTCAGTCTCCAGTGGTAATTCATTTACTGCTAGAAACTCGTCTGATTTCGTTAATGAGGTTTATGTGTCTCTATTTCTAATTTTAAAATTTCTCAAATCTAATTTTAAAAAATGGTGTTCGTTGATGTAAAATCTTCATTCACTAACGCTCCCATTAATTGTGCCGTTAATTGCTTTAAAAAGAGATTACAAGAGTTCCATTTTAGTCAAGTTGAAATTGACGAACAAGTAAATATCACTCGTTTTTGTTTAGAACATTCCACGTTCACTTTTAATATAAAATTTTATCGAATCGTTGATGGCTTAGCTATTGGCTATGCTTTCAGCCCTTTCTTAAGTGACCTGTATATGCACAACTTTGAAAGGAAACTCTTTGATTTGTTAAAGTTCCCTTTTTATATATGATATGTCACGTTGATGGTTAATGCTGACCTTGATCGGGATCTCATTATTATGAATTCTATATATCCTTACATAAAATTCACGTTTGATCATGAAAATAACCCGTTCCCCCCATTCCCCTAACTAAAAGATAGCTGACTCCCCTTACATGTTTACCGTGAATCAAACATTTATTCAAATAGTTATCTCCTTAACGGAGTGCTTAACCGTAAAGCAATTGCTGTAGACTGCGGTTTTCCTTCTGACATTATTTCCATCTATAGAAAATTAAACTCGCAATCTACTAAACTCTATAATTCAAACTTTGACAATTTGATTGTTTTATCTTATTATCCAAAAATCACTTCTTAGATTGCTAAGATTTTTGAATAAATTATGAATTTAAAATTGTTTTTTCCCCCTGTAAATAAGCTAAATTTTACCAATATTAAAGACACTGTTGCTGATACTAATTGTTCGAGCATTCATTAAATCACGTATTAATGTGGTCTTACGTATATCGGACTTACTAAGCGTAACCTTAAGCATCTTCTCGGAAATCAGGACATTAAAGTCCCTGGCGAAATTATTCGAGGCACTTTAAGATTCTGCAGCATCTTTTCTTTCGTTCCGGGCTCGATTCGTCCCCTGACTCTTTTTTTTCTTCTTTATGCTTCGTACGCTAGTTTCAGAAACCTTCAATCGTCGTGATGTTTCGCGGTTGGAAAAACTATTTTAGCATTCACGTGTACCTTTACTTACAGCTTCTTTACATGGTGAAAGATCGCCTTTTTTAAACATTGCGAAACGTTTTCAAATCATTATTTAAGCACTGTACACGAAATAAACAAATACTCTGACGCGAAAACACGACTGAAACTGGTTCGCACTTGTTTACCTTCCTGTATCAATTGGTCAACATTGTAATGCAATACGTTAAAACAAGGAAGCCGGCAGAATAATATAAAAGGGGATGCAACCCTCTAACAAACTACCTCCCCCCCAAAAAAAACTTAATTAAAATATTCTTTTATTACATATTGTTCTGTTATTACTAAAGCCCGGAATTTCAGGCAATAAAAAATGCAAAAATAGGCAGGCAAAAAGGCATTTAAAAAGCTTGAAATAGGCACTTAAAAAAGGCACTTAAAATTGGAGCAAAATGGTAGTTGGTAATGCCTAAAAGCCCATATAGGTATCCAAGGTATAAAAAAAGTTGCTAGAAGTATCCGGTATACCTACATATTCATTTCACTCGACTGTCGTAGCAATAGTACAAAAGAAGTGGACATAATTGCACAAAAAAAAACCCAACTGCGTAGGTGCGAAATAAAAATTGGAAACTCGTAGTTACAATAATATTGTATGCAGATTTATTCTGATGATTGGTTGTTGTTGCACATCACAACTAGATGCTTTTTCAAATTTTCGAAAGAGAAATTTTGTCTCCTGTCAGTCAATATAGTTTTAAACAAAGAGAAGGATCTTTCTACTTCGACAGAAGTTATGGGCGCGTACCTAAAACAACTTGCCATGGTAGGAGATATGGTAAGTTCAACTGTAGTATCACCAGAAAGTACTTTTGCAATGTCCTTGATGCATTCAAAGTCTGTATTTGCAGAGATGACGTTTTCACATTTCTTCCTTATTATGTCACCAGATGGTCCAGGCACAGACATTAGTTCTTCAATAGTATTGTCGAAAATCTTTAGTGACTCGGACAAAGACATATTTCTTTTTTCCAT